GGCTGGATGAGGCTTTGAGCAACCTGGTCTAGTGGAAGGTGTCCCTGCTGCTGGCAGGGGGGTTGGGACTGGATGAGCTTTAAAGTCCCTCCCACCCCAAACCAGTCTGTGATTCTATGAACAGCCCAGCACCACCTCTCAGGGTGCACTCTTCCACCTCACCAGGCAGCAGGACACCAGCACCATCACCCCTTCAGGCTTCTAGCCAAGCTGGAGCCCCAAGGCTCACCCAACAGCAAGTAGCAGGGTTCCTCCAGCGCAGTGGTCAGGGCTCATCTCCCTCTGCCTTCAGCACAGAAGGAATCACCGAAGCTCACACCACAGAGTCAGCCCAGCAGGGTTACTGCAGCAGACACCAACAGGAACAGCCCCTTGCCACAAGAAAGGTTCACCAGGAGGAAGAAGGCACCTTTGTGTGGCAGCAGCTCTGAAGCACAGCAGCTCCTACACTCCCTTGGACACGTTTTATGCAGCAGAAAGTGAGTGTAGAGACACTGTAAGGGAAGGGCTGGGTGGAATCATGGAGCAGACAAGGAGTTTCCCCCTAATTTATTCAGTGCCACAGTTCTTGCCCTACCTCCACCTTCTGAAGGCAAAAAAATTGGTCTAATCCATCCAAGGAGTAGAGCAATATTTTAAGAAGTTATTCAGAACAATCTTCCCATATATAAAATAAACTTTACATATAGTCCCCACTTATATATAAAAAAGTAGCCTTTTTTTTTTCCCTTGTACCCAATATTTGTCATCAGCAGGTTACAGACAATCAGCTGGCAACAACAGGAGGTCCACCAAGTGGTCTTCTTCCCCCTGGAGTGGTTGGGAGCGTGATGCAACAATGGTGTTTGGCCATTTTTTTAGAGAACCCCGAAGAGCTGAGCAGGAAAAGTCTCTCTTTCTCCAATGAAATCACCGCATATTTCTTAAAATGTTCCTGAAGTTTTCCAGTTCTCTAACACTTGTTGAAACCCTGTGGGGAAGGAAAGCAAAAGGGAAACATTGGAGGAACATAATTTGAAAAATTAGTTAAAATTTAAAAGGAAAGGGCAGGGAGAAAATAAAGCTTCAAGGAGCTCTTGGGAGGAGAGAATTTTGAATTTCAGCTGAATTTGGGTCTGGCTGCAGCCAGGTCCTTCACTAATTTTGTGGAGTCTTTTTAAAGCAAACACAGAAACAGAGTGGAACAGGATGTTACAGAGCTCACAGTCATCAGACAAACCCATTAACTAGAGGTCACAGAAACAGACCATAATATGACCAACTGTGCAGGCAGGTCGCAGAGTCTGCTTGCAAGATCAGCTTGTTTCTCCTGAAGGATTTTTGTTTGTTTGGGTTGGGTTGTTTTGGGGTTTTGTTTGTTTGTTTTTTAATCACTTATCTCATTTTTCTCACTGAATGCATTTTGCCCCTGGAGCATCAATGAAGGTGGCAGGTGGGACTCTGAGGACACCACTGATCAGTGCCTCCTCCAGAAAGGAGAGGTCTGTCCTTCCCAGCCAGGACAAACCTGCTTTCAGAAAGCTTGGAGTAACCCAAATCACTTGTGAACAACAAGCAAAAGGTGGAGGCCTGTTCTAAAAGGCTCTTCTCATCCAGGTAGGTGGGACCATTCTGTGACTCTATGACAGGAGGTTGGAGTCTGGGAAAGCACTGCTTGGCCCCAGTCTTTCCACACAGCAGCGGAGAGGTTCTCCTCCCCCTCCACTCTATGGCAGGACAAGGGGCAATGGGTGCAAGCTGGAGCACCAGAAGTTCCATGTGAACACAAGGAAAAACTTCTTTCCTGTGAGGGTGACAGAGCCCTGGGCCAGGCTGCCCAGAGAGGGTGTGGAGTCTCCATCTCTGGAGATGTTCAAACCCACCTGGACACTTTCCTGTGCAGAACCTGCTTTGTCAGTGGGGCTGGACTGGATGATCTCCTGAGGTCCCTTCCAACCCCACCATTCTCTGAGTCTGTGACTCCCAGGGTAACACTTTAGCTGGGCAGCAGAGGGGGAGAGGGGAAAGAAAAAGGTGCTCTGCCTGCCAGCCCTCCACCTCCTCTGGACAGACGTTCTGAGGGTCCATAAGTCTCCCCACGCTGCTTCCAAAGGTTGTATTGACATGGCTAAAGAAAGGCAGCAGGAAGCCCAGCTCCTCTGGACTGTGGGGAATGCAGCAGCTGTGCTCAGGAGGGGAGCACCTCCATGGAGAATCATTGACTGGTTTGGGTTGGAAGGGACCTCAAAGCTCATCCAGTCCCAACCCCCCTGCCATCAGCAGGGACACCTTCCACTAGACCAGGTTGCTCAAAGCCTCATCCAACCTGGCCGAGAACACTTCCAGGGAGGAGGCAAAATTAACATTAACATCATCTGACATGTGAAAGCATCTTTATGAGCCAGTATGGCCAGAGCAGGAGTTAACACCGATATCACTGACGGGAACTGACTCTTTAAGCTTAGATGGAATGTAACACAGCAGCTTATGTGAAAGTAAAGGGAAAAAATTCTCAAACTAACCTTCCAAAAGCATTAAATAAGGCAACAATTTCTTGTCTGGTCAGCTGGAATCCATAGGAAGGGCCGCTTTCAGGTATCTTTTCTATCAGGTTTTCAGAAAAGAGGATCTTCAGCGCTGTACCCAAGCCCTGTGTCTGTGCACGACAAACAAGATTAATAGTGGGGGAAACATCCAGGGCCTGACTCATAAGTTGAACTTCACTTCCCATCTTCATCTTTGCAAGGATTCCTGTTGACATCATCTTAACAGAGCAAGACCTGGATTTGACTTCTCAGAGCTCAGAGAAGGGAGCAGAGCAGAGCCAGGATGCTCGATGTATTGAGGGTTACTGTGAGAGCAGAGCTCCTCAGCAGAGGCTTCCTGTCTAGCTTTGACCACGTGTAAAATTCAGTGCAGATCTCACCGAGCCCCCCAGCTGTATAACATCCTCTGCCTCACTTGCCAGAGGCTCTGCACCCCCTCCCCTCTCTCAGGGAGCAGCAGGTTAACCCTATTTTC